TATATTTAATTCTTGTTTAATTAATCCAGTTTATTTTGTGCAACAAAGGTACCATACATATTAATTAAATTGTGTTGTTTAAGAATTTTTCATATGGATTACATTTAATTGTTCATAAAAGTGATTTATCTTTTTTTTTTTTTTTAATGAAATTTTATATAAAACAATTCCTTACTTTTTAGCCTGGGCAGTGTCGAATCCAAGAGGATACTCGGGGATTTTCCCCAAGAAAAATGTCTTGAGTCAATATTGTACATAGCGCCCCTAATTCAGATTTGCCAGGCTTTCACGCATCATTGGTAGAAGCTATGAAAACTAGGTCTCTCGTAATCCTATCATCTCATAGAAGTATTGTGTATATCCCAAGGACTCTAGGTGTCTGTGGGTCCTTACCATTTCTAAGTATTGTGTACATGGTTGGGTTTTGTTTTGCTTACAAACATAGGGAAAACCCACCTTACGATGTTTAAATAATGCATTTATTATTTTAGGGATTTGTCCATAGCAAAGGCCATAGATTAGAAAATATGGTACTTTCATAGCAGCAAAGATAAGCACAAGTGGACATTTTCTTTCTAATAAACTTTCGTCTGAATTTTTCTTTAAAATTCCCAGTCTGCGCCCCTGGCATCTTTCAGATCCTTTGGCAAGGATGTTGAAAGGAAATTTCGAATTTGGTGGGCCGAGTAATTAAATTACTTGCAAGTTTTTAATGATAGTATTACATAATGTTAAAATACCAGGATTGTCTACATTATTTTTGTTTTGCTGTTTCAGATATCGAACAGAGAGATCGGGGAGAGCGAGCTGAAAAAGAAGAAGAAAGTGACTTTGGAATCCGAATATGAGGTCAGTAGGTTTTGTCCCGAATCCTGTACGTGGGAAAACTAAAAGTTTTCGTTTATTTCCACCTTTAGAAAGTGAAGGAGATGGACATTGAATCGTGGGAAAATGTGCGAGGTCCCCGGCCCTGGGAAGACTCTTCAGCCCTTCAACGCATGAAGGAAAAGCGAGAACGGCAAAAGGCCGCCGCTTGACCGGAAGTGGACCAAGATATTTCGGAAGACTTTGTTAGGAAATAAAATTATTGATTTTAGAAAGAATTTTCTGGTAGTTTTTATGGGGCGAAAGAGCGCCTCCTTCATTCGGGAAACCTGTAAACCAGAATCTTAATTAAATCAGGCTAACGCGGAGTGATTTTTCCTTTCTACTGTTCGATATTATTGGATAGTTTTGCTGCCATTACATTTTTTATCGACAAACTATCTTTTGTAACAGTGTGGCATTTTTTCATTAATTTAATTATAACATGTGCATGGTAACACAATCCAATTAGCTGCATGATCAAGATTTTGCTCTGGATATGGGATGATTGTGTAAAAAGTACAATTGGAATAAAAAAATTAAGCACATCATACTAACACCCACCGAATAACTAGGCCCCTAATATTACCCTGATAACTAATTCGACTGAGAAAGTGGTTCCAAAATTTCATTTCCTTCAAGTTTTCGTTCTGTTTAATTTAATTAAAATTACTTAAAACAGAATTAGCTTATATTTGTGAAATGGAAACACTATTTAATGGGGAAACTTTTGGTGGATCTCGATTTTCGGCAGTACTCAGAATTTAGAATTATAAATATAGATACTAATTACTAATATTGTTACGTTTCGTAAGATTCGGCCTGTAAATTGTCAGAGTCAATGTTTATTGGTGCCCTTGGCAAATACTTAAAATAAGTTAAAAGGGACCACCAATTTAAGTAGCAGAGTGACGAAGACATGAAGGAATGATTTGATTCCCCTTACACTGTGCAGTAATCTACATGATGTAAGCGGAAATGACGTGTGGCTAGATATCAGAAAGGTACGCTCGAAACAATTTTCAAACATTTTATGAATTTCTAAATTAATTTAAAATAATAAAGAACAAACGAAGTAATTCCAATTAATTAAAATTTAACCCTCGTCAAGCTTACATAGCATTACGAAAAACTCGATCCTTAAGGCCACTTTTGACAAAAAAATTTTTTTTTCAATTATTGGAATGTTTTTTAGGTCCACAAATTTTTTCAAAAATTTTTACCCGCGCGAAAAAATTTTATCGCGATTTTAATGAGCCTTTGATAAGGCTCGATTAAGGCTTAATTGTTTTTTAATGGAATTTTTTTAATCAAATTTAATTCATCGTTCTAAAGTTGTAGTGCACGGATTTGACTTCGGTAAAGTTATTTAAAGTTGCTTTCTGATGTCAAAAATGACCTCCAATAGTTTTTAAATTAATATATTTTATATAAATTTAATTAATTAGGGGGTCGGAAATCGCAATAAAAATTTTAATTCTTTAAAAATATAGGCCAAGTTAGTGCTCACCCTACTTTAAACCTTTGTCCTCCCGAGACGTGTATGAGAATGTCCCGGGAAATCAGACTCCAGCTATTCTCAAGGTCACCAGCTGTGTAAACAATGACTCATCAGTGTCAAATTTCACAAAGGCGAGACAAAGGAAGTTAAACTTTGAAGCTTTTCCTTCAAAATTAACATATTTCTTTCGTTTTTTTTTCCAGTTTTAGAAATTTTTATGTTTAATTATAATTAATTAAAAATTGATTGGAAACTGAGGGGTTAAGAACAAGTAAATGTTTGTCATTAAGGTGTAATTGTTCAAGTTATATGAAATACTGGGGGAAAAAAGTCATTATTATATTTACAGATTACCTAGATGTGTTAATAGGTATAATTGAGTGAAGTTCTTTATTATCTGCAGGTTAAACAAATTTCAGAAACATTCATGAAATTTGTTTCATGTAACTGCTGCAAGATATCAAAATATCTGTTTCACATAAATGCTGTATATCAAAATTTTTTTAGAATTTTTGGTGTCTGGAGCATTGATGGGTAAGATTCAAGCTCTGAATGAGGGGTTTCGCACTCCCTATACGAGCAAACAATGCACAACCTGATTTTGGAGGAGGTATTTGCAAAGTCTCTTGTAGACACATGGTTCTTTACTCTTTTGCTCCTGTGGGTATGATCTACAGCTCTGACACAGATAGGATCTTATCATTCAGAGCTTGAATTGTACTCATTGACATTATCCCAATAAAAATGTTTCAAATCATCTGCTAAATTCTTTTAAATGATTCAAGTCAATGTCAATTATTGTGAAATATTTATTAAATGAGAACAGGCAAGACATCTGCCATCATTTACTTTTTTCTAGAAAACCGTTTGTGGTAATGATTCGAACGCAATCAAATGGTTTTAATATATTTTTTAAAGTTTTAGTCTTCGCAACATCGTACAGTAACTGGTATCAAATTACAATACGTGTTTGTTTATTTAAGTAATATTTATCAAAATTGTTTCAAAACAAACAATTAAAGTCATGGCAATGCAACACTTTGGTGATCTGCATAGGGGGATGCCTTCTGGGATTTTTTTTTAAAGGTAACTGAGTTACAGACATGGAGTAAACTCTGGTCGCCAGGATTGGCTGGCCACATGAACTCCCAGTGTTCAGGGAACAGAACCACTTGGTCACTGGTGGCTCAAATTTTATTTCATCCACTGAAATTGTTTCATCATTTAAATCTAATGAGAAAACTTCAAAAATGATATAAATTGATATATGTGATGCCAATGAAATGATATATAGTATTTACTTTTCTGGCTGTTATATATGAGAGAAAGTATGGCAATCAGCCAAAAAATAATCCTAAATTTTTAAACATCGCTAAACCCGATGTAATATAGCTAATCACCAAACATATGCCGTAAATCCATCGGGCTAGTTTTAAGGCTAATTACTAAATAAATTACGGCATATGTTTGGTGATTAGCTAAATTTTTAATTTTTGTACTCTGGGATCTTGAAATGTCGAGAAATGAAAATGGAAAAAAATTTTTTTTTGGATATTTGTGTGGGGACCACAATTTTGTTCACCCACTTTAAAGCTTACCTCCCGTGATTTTTGTCGAAAATGTCCGAAATTTTGCAGGGAGGGTTGCGTATTAGATCGATACTATTAAATGTTGGGGGTAGGAGATAGAGGTGGATCTCAAAGAATCGGACTTAAATGACGATTTTACTAGTTATTGGCATTTACAATTTTTGTTTTTATAAAACTCGTCCCACCCTCATAATTAAACTTTTGCTATTTTGTAACAGTTAAAAATATTAAAAATTTTTTAATAAAATATCATAATAGGTGATGCTACACACAGTTTTAAATGTTTCCAAAAAGGCTTAGCAATCATTGTTGGATTTTTACTAGGGTAAAGCTGATATTTTATTCCCACTAAAGATCTATAAAAACGTGCTTTGTTTTCCTCAAAATAGTGAAATCACTTAAAATATTTACCAGTGAAACATGTAGCTGCGCCTTTAATTACAGTAATTTATTATCGCAAACGAAAGCCACACAACTTGATATTTCAGGTGAATATGACCAGAAACCTCCCATAACATGACAGACAAATTGCATTAGAGAAAACAGGCACTTTGACATGAAACCGCTATTTTAATACTTGTTTACTTTGAAGTTAACTATTGATTCCATGTTGAGTACAGAACGGCTATTTTAGAAAAGTTTGTTTGGATGAAAAAACAGAAACAGAGACTATTTTACAAAGTATTTAATTTTTATTTTAGGTAAACATGACTTTTACCGCCAAAATTGAATTTATGTAGAAAGGCGTCCACGGTTGGAAAATGCAAATTACTGGCAGTTTTTATAAATATATCCCACTTAATGGGCTCTGCACATCTGTTGTTCAAAAAAAGATATTTTTCCCTTTTGACAAATGGGAAAACACAATATCCTGAAGACCGTCATTTAATCGATTCCCTACAATGGAGGCTGGAAATGCTCCAGTAAAGAAGAGTCGCCAGCTATGAAACTTAAATACCGTTTCTTTGTCTTGTCTGGGATGACCCATTTGCTTCCTTGCGGACCTGATTGCCCTGTTTCCACCTCTGCAGAAATTATTTTGCTTCAGACGCATCCATACTCATACCAGACGGAGTCCTCTTTCTTCCCTTCCGGTGCCGGAGGAGTAGGCTCGCGTGGACTCCCATCCACCTCTGAGGTGTCAGATTCCGCGACTGTCGAGTTCCGCGGCATCCCAACTGTGACCTCAGCCGGGCGCTTGCTCAGGGTCGTGGTCAAGTTGACTGTGGTGTGGTTCTCCAGAGTCGTCGTTCGACTCGGCGCCATCAGAAGCCCCTCTTCCGGACCCGGCCCAGGAGGCGAGGGACCAGAGTCCCGCACTGGAATGTAGTCTTCTGTGTCTTCCGTTCCCGGGCGGCTGCCTGTCTTTCTCCGGGACGACCTGCCGCCCCCGCTCCCCTCTGAGTCTTCCTCCTGCCGCTTGGTTGCCTTCTTGTTCTGTTTCCTCTTGGCAGAGTCAGTGCGGCGATGGCAGCGTTCCCGCACTGCCCTTTCCAACTGTTCTTTCTGTTGCCATAACTCGCGCAACCTTTCCTTCAATAGCACGTCTTCTCTTGACGGCCGGCCCTGCTGCTTCAGCACTTGTGACAGCAGCTCATGGTATTGCACCAGCAGCAGTGATAGTTGGGCCACTGCAGCCTTCTGTTCTTCCTCCAGGGCATTGTTTCTTTCAGTGAGGGCCTCGCAGCGACCGGCCAGCCGGGTCGTCTCCAGCCCCTGGGTGGTCAGCTGTCCCCTCAGTTCCTCACACTCACTGTTCAGACGTTCATTCTCAGCCCGCAGGGTTTCCAACCCTCTCTGCATCATTCCCTGTTCCTCCAGGAGTCGCTCATAGCGGTCCTGTGTTGCCTTGGCCCGTTCCTTGACACTCAGGTGGTCTGTTTTCAGGGTCTTGTAGGTTAACTTAAATGAGGCAAAACTGGAAAGTAGAGAATCAAAGTCGGACGACAGCTGTTGGTGTAATGACTGCAGGGTCTTTTGGTCTTTTATCAGGGACTCATTGGCCTCCTGTGTCTCGCGCTGCTTCTGTTTCAGCCGCCCACACTCGGCCTCCAGAGATGCAGTTTCTGCCTGTAGACGAGAATTCTGGGTGGAGACGGTGTCGTGACGTGACTCCAGCAGTGACATTTCCACCTCCAGTTTGGCCAGTGAAGCTTGCAGTTCAGCATTGTGCTCAACTGCTGCCTTCAAGCTCTCTTCCAGATTGTCCGTCTGCATATTCTTCTTGTCATTCTGCTCAATCAGTGTGACGTTCTCTTCCAACAGTTTTCTATTCTCTTCCTCCAGCTCCGTCATCCTCTGGTCCAGTTCAGAAATGAGTGATTTGAGACGCAGAATGTGTCCAGTAGCATCATTGCCATCGTCATCATCTGGCAGCTCAATCTCTCGTCTGGGGACTGCCCGACATTCGGAAGACTGCATCCTCTCCTCCTTTTTGGAAGTGGGAGCAGGCAGACTTTTCTCCATCTTCAGAGCCGCATTGATCTTCTGAAGATCGCCAGCCAACTGCTGACACTTGAGCTTCTCATTAACCAGCTCTTCCTGCAGTGATGACAATGTTTTCTTCTCTACTGATGTTTGCTGCAGCAGCTCCTTGTTCTCTCTTTCTAATTCTTGCAACTGGGCTGTCAGCCGTGTGCAGTTTTCACTTTCTTTCTGCAGTTGTTGGTTTTTCTGTTCTATTAGTGACAACTTAGACAGATACTCATCAATGGTGCATTCCTTGGCCTCCATCAACTGTTTCAGCTTGGCATTTTCCTTCTCCAGAGATCTCTTCTCCTGTTCCAGAGCCTGCTTGGTGGAGTTCAATCCCATTGCCTCTCTCTCCAATTCATGCAGTTTTGGTATAGACAGCTTCAAAGTGTCTAAAGTCTTATTTAGTTTTCTGTTTTCATTCTCAAGTCCCTGTAGCTCTTCCTGTATTTCTTCTAGTTTTATCTGGTTGGTTTCCACAACCCTCTGCAGCTTTTGATTTTCTGTAGTCAAAGCATTAACTGTCCTTTCCATCTGTTCACAATGTGCCTGATCCACTTTCATGTTCTGCCTCATCTCCTCTACTAACTTTTCTAGTTCACGCTTGTGTGTTTCCAGATCAACCACACATGGCTTCTGCTCATCCTCTGCAGATTCCCTGTTGCAATTTTCAACCAGCATCCTCAACCGACGATTCTCCAGTTCCAGCTGGAGGGCCCTAGTCTGTGCATCTGTGTTTATTTGCTCTAACAGGCTATCATCCCTAGAGGGTACATCTTCATTTCTGGCTCGAAATAGCTCTGCCTGCATCTTGGCTAACTCTTCAGCTGCAGTCTTCCTGTCCACCTGAAGTCTGGCATTTTCCTCCAAGAGTTCCTGGATCTTCTTCTGATCCAACTCTCTTTGTGAAACCATGTCCTTCAGTCGACTGCTAACCTTTCTCATCTCAGCCTCCAGTTCAGCCATCTGCTCAGTCTTCTTTCCATTTCCTTCCAGTTGCTCTTCCAACATCAATTTTGTCTCCACCAAGATTCTATTATCCTCACGCAGCTCTTCCACTCTGGACTTGTAAAAGTCCAATTCATTCAGTTTCTCCCGATACTTGTGGATCTCACTTTCCAGGCGATCCATCTTTCGAACTCTCTCGGTCAGAATGTCTATTTCATCTCGGTAGGCAACAGCAGTCCGTGCCTCCTGTATCAGTTCCAGATTTTCCTGACGTAGGCGGTTGACTGCATCCCTGGATTCTTCCAGTTCTTCCTTGGCTTCAGTCAGGGACTCATTCTTCTCCTCCAGCTCCTGTTGCATCTTTCTCAGCTTGGACTTTACATCAGCCAGCTCCACCATCAGATGGGGCTTCTCAGGACCTGGTGCACCCTTCCCAGTCTCTCCTTCCTGGTCCACAGTCAGATTGACTATCCTCTCAGCCAACTCATCCCTCTCTTTAGTCAGACTGCGCAGGTGCCGGACACATAGGGAGTACATGTGGTCATGTTCTTCAGTAGGAAGCATCTGCAGGTCACTCCACTCAGCACTCCAGACAGCCTCTGGATTATCAGCTATCCTCTGGATGCATTCCATGATGGTATGCTGTGAAGTGACATCAAGAGTTTTGATGCGCTCAATGAAAAACTGCTTGCGTTCACACTGCACAGCTGAGCTGAGAACAAGCAGGAGGAGTGTCTGCATCTCAACCACACTGGCCTCATCAGGACCTCGGGCTAACAACAAGATGTCTGGCACGCCAGTGACCAGCAGCTGGCCCAACACATCCTCATAGAAGGCCTTGATGTTGTGCAGAAGAAGGTCCAGGTTGCGCAGCCGGGAACATCCATCTTCACCAGCGGGAGCCACACCCCTGAAAGGAGGATGGGGATCAATCTGCAGCCAGACATTGTATAGGAGAATGCCATCTCGCAGCTGATCATAGGAAAGGGGTTTGGAGTCTTCGTCCTCAAAAGTCTTGATCCATGTCACCAGCGGGCTGCGCATGAATTGGTCAAGCACGGGGCTGGCCATCCTGTTGCTGGACACGGCATCCGCACCTGTGAAAAAAAAACAAACACACTACAAAACAGAGTTGAGGAAAGTTAATTCTGTAATTGCATCCACAGCATAGTCTAATTGGCAACTCCTACATTTTGATATTGGTTATTAACAAAAACACTTTTAAAACACAAAAACACAATTAAAATAATTCCATGAATTTTTAAATTTTATCAAATGAAAACAAACCCCATGATATTATATTCTGTGCCATCAGAGCTTTTGTTTCTCTAACAATTTGCTTTACTATGGTTGCTATTTGAAACTATGTTTTAATTGTTATTTGCTTTTTGAAAAACTATGAACCATCTTGACCAATGTAAAAGGATTGAATAAAGAAAAATAAAAACACCTGGCTGTTTAGCAAACACTTCAACATCTTTCAAAAGGAAGGAAGAAAATAGCCTTGATTTATTTAAATCAGTGTTTCTCAACGGGGGCGATATCGCCCCCATGCGGGCGTTTTTCCCATGTTGAGAGGGCGATTAGTAACAATTTATATTTTGGGAGGCGAAAAACAATTTTCTGAGCGATATAGTAAAATATTATATTAAGAATAATTAAATATTTTATTCATTATATCGTACAATAATTAAACAAATAACATTATACTAGTCACTAGTCTATTCAATGCAGTATGAATTTGGTGTTAGCCTTGGTCCTGGGCATCGGAATTTTGAAGTGATGGGGGCGATACTACGTAACGGTTTTATTGAAGAGGGCGATACTACGTTGAAGGGGGCGACGATTCGTTAGAGGTTGAGAAACACTGATTTAAATCCATATTCCTTCAATGAAATAGCACAATGGAGTGAGGCAAAATATGCATATTTATTAAATGCATCCATTTCAGCAAATTCTCTTTTCACTGAAAGTGAGTAGTATGTTATTAAGTAAATTACTTAATGCACCTTTAACAGTGAAATTTTTATAATAAAAAGCAAAAAATTTTTATCAGATCAAAAATGTTAGCAGTCATTTTTATAAATTCCACTGTTAAAAGTGCATTAAGTAATTCAGCTAAATTACCATAGTAGCTAGTATATAATCATCAATATTCATTAAGTATCAAAACTTAAAAATGTCACAGAAGTGTAAATGTTTTTTAATTAAACAACCATAAGTTCACTAGTTTTCCTTGTTTTTTTTTTTTTTTTTGAACATGACATATGTGTATAAGATAAACACACCAACAGTTGAACAGATAAGGTACTGTAAATTGACCTTGGCTAAATTTTATTGCTTACAGATAATATTTTATTTTGTAAAGTTTACTGACATATTTCAATGTCAAATATGGAGCTGTTTCATATCCTGGTTTAATACACAAAGTGTATTGAGTTTGTTTGTTGTTTGTTAATTTTGCCAGATGTTAATATGAAATTCAGTTGCAGTTTTTATATAAATAACATACTGCAAAATTACAGACAACTACAGTTATAAAATAAATGCAAATTTATAGTTAAATTAAGAAATCTAGAATTAGTACATTTAAATAATTGAAAAATAGATCACCTACTACTTTTAAAATTAAAAAAGCTTGTGTGATTTGGGACTATATAAACAGAGCAACTTAAATGAGTTATTCAAGAGAGATAAAAGGACTAAAACCTATTATTAAAAGGAGAGTTTTAAAAATGTTGAATTACAAAACTACAGTGATTACTTCATAAGTATTAAACCTCTAAGAGAAAAATGAATATTTTCTCTTTTAAAATGTTAAAACATATAACTAATTTCATATAATGAAATTTATTTTTGTAAATGAATAAAGTTATTAAAAGTACAACTGAGTATTTAATAAAATTGAATACTGATACTAAAAGAGAGTCAATTATTGAGTAAGAGCCAGTCAAGTATGCAACAGATATTACTGAAGTGAATGAAAATTATTTTAGTCCTTTAGAATAAAAATTATGGTAATTAAAAGTTTATGTAATTTTACATTTTAAATTTAAAGTATCGACTGCCATGAATTGCATTAAAATAGCATTCGTAATGCATAACTAATGCTATATATTAAAAATCTTAAAAATGTTCTTTTATTGCTATGCTTACCATTTTAAAAGCCTCATATTTGAAATTATAATAAACTTAAATACTTCTACAATCTAACACAGTCTAATATTACATAATCATTCTCAGAAAGCAAATATCACAGATCATGTTCCTCTATCTTCTGGGAACAAAAAGAAAATCTGCCAAAAATGGTTAAATACATTTGATTCAACACATTGAAGAATACATTGATAGGCTTTGAAATACTGTATATTGTAAAAATTCATAATTTAAAACCACTGTAGTGTTTGTTTCTGATGCTGTTCTTTTGCTGAGAACCACGGCAAAAGAACACAATGCCAAAAGACATACATACAATCCTAATCAACTAGGTCTCACCAATTGGCAGATCAATTCATTGGCATAATGCATCAATATCATATTTATAAATAAATATTTAAATAATTTACTAATGATATTAACAAATAAAAATTATAATTACAAATACAAAATATTGTAGATTTTTATTTGAAAGTTTGCTTATTCATGCTGTTATAAACTTGTTACCAGAAAATGTGGATGAAAGATATGCAATCAAAATTGACAAAATATCTTGGTCCAAAACAAACACAATGGACATCAGAATTATCTTCTCTGAAGTTAACAGTTACAGGTTCAAGGAATTATGAGTCCAAGATAAACTTTACATAGCAATCATTATAAAGCAAACAAAAAAAAGTTAGTTTTTTTTTTGTTTGCTTTATAATGATTGCTATGTAAAGTTTCATATGTAAAACAATCATCTGTAAAAGTCTATGCAAAACAGTTTTAGCATATTCCAGATAGAATTACTCTTTGTGGACTACTATTATATTATCCAAGAATATCCAAATAATGAACTTAGACACACAGCATATGCAATTAGATTTATATTGAGTATAAAGACAGCCAGACAGAAAGAGAAAGTCTACACAGATACAGTCGACCCCCCTATAACACAGGTTCCTATAGTTTGGATTCCTATATGACAGCAAAAAAATTGCGATGGTATCTGTACAAACATGGTAAAAAAACTCCTATAATTCGGTAAAACGACATCAGGCAGCTGAACTACTTTCCGCTGTCCAGCACCACATTACGGAGAGTTTAAGCGAGTAAGTTGAGTTTACTATTGTTTGTACAGTATGTAAATTAGGTACCATAAGTCTAATACAGCACTAATTTTATACATTTCTTGTGAAAAAAACATTTCTTATTCAATGGCCATAAAAATTATTTATCTTAATGATGTCTCCAAAGTTCAACGAATTTTTTGCAGAAAAATAACATCAGAAATCGCGGCCGCCGTTTGGTGCACTGCTCCACGACGAAAACAAGCTTAAGCAATGGCAACGTCTAATGGTGAACACTCGGTAAGTAATCCTACAATTTTTTGTTTATAGCATAGTTAATACAGATTATTTTCGAAAAAATTATACGTATTTTGGAAATGAGTCTAATTAGTCTAGGAATTGATTACTTTTATGGAAGAAAACCTTACAAACAGCCGTAGTCTGTAAACTTTACACGTGTCGGACTGCGATTGGCAAGGTCTCCTAAAACATCAATTTCATAAAAAACGGAACATATCTACCGTGTTATAGGGGGGAGTCGACTGTAGTTTAAGTTGGCAAACGCCAATCTCTCTCTCGAAATAATAGATCAACAGGTGGACGGCCAAGTGGTCAACAAGCAGCACAATGCTCTGGGACAGAGTCAGTGGCGTACCATTGGTGTCAGCCGCCCGGGGCAGAGGAAAATTTCGGCCCCCCCTTATTTAGGTATTTCAATTTAAAAGACCAAAATTCAGTTTTGTCACAGAACAAGCAATGAAAAATTTGGTGGTAGTGTAGCGACTTGTTTAAAATAGTTCTATTGGATATATATAGTGGTGTATATGAACGCAAATGAATCGTACAAGCAAAAACAAAAAAAAAGGTCAACAGGTCTCGCAGGGTTTCCTCAGATGAAAAAATTACTAGTTCACCTGGACGGTGAGCTGATTCCCGGACTGTCCGGATGATAGCACTATCGTAGGCACGATGCAAGTGTAGATTAGGATGTTTTAAACTTTTACAAGATATTATTATTATTTATTGTGAAATTTTGCCGCCCCCACTACGGTATGCCACTGGACAGAGTCCAAATCCGGACAGGTGGAAAAACCTGAGGAATTTTTGGATCAGTCCATCCGGATACATTGGGCCTGGCCACAGCCTTTCTAGCAATCTTGTTACGGGTTTGGTTATCAGTCCCTATGAGGAAGAAAGTTAAAAAAAAAAAAAAAAAATGGTAACAGCAAATCTTTTCCAAAAGGTCAAAATCGAATTTGAAATTTAGCATATCCAAATTGTGGATAAAAAATTTATTTTAAGTAATTACGAAAAAAAAAAAAAGAGGATTTACAAATTTTACTTCAACTTTCTAATCTATATTAGAAAAATGACAGCAAACTCTATATAAGATAATAATGCAATTACAGTATAGCAGAAACAAGTATTTTGTTTAACTGAAAATCTTCCATCATTTACTCCATAAGAATTTCTCTATCCAAGATTCATGACTTTTTGATTCAGATTTTGCAATAACTTTGAGACCTCACTTTCACACTATGTACAGCATGTAGTTTAATTTCAAATACACCAATTATTATTTTTTAAAGAAAATTTATTAAAACCTAATAAACCTGTGTTTCAGCAGCCAGAGCTATCCATCAAACAATAGGAGCATACCCACCAGCAAAAGATAATTTTGGTAAATTTGGGTTTATTTTAAACCAAATTGCTACGTGTTATAAATTGATACAATAGTATTTTGCATTATCAACATTTGTATTTATTTTAGAAGAAATAAAACAAAAACAAAATTACATGCCAAAAATTTTTGGTGAAAATGTATGGAGCTATTTTCACCAATATATTGCAGATATTAAGTCTATCACTATATGTGTGTGTTTTATTATATATATATATAAATTTTTTTTTCTGCATTCTTAGCCCAGAGACTTCTACCTCAACCCAAAGCCCGAGAGTCCGCTTTGTGCGTATAATTCTTCGTTAACTCTTCCTTTACGCTAAACACGGTATTCCACACGTCTTATCTCCTTTGACTGCACCGGAAAAATACGGGCGTGGCCGCCAGGTTACGTCACTTCGATAAAATGTTGGACCGCGATAAAGCGCAACCTCTTTCGCGTCGCGTCGTCCCGGCGAAACGAAGATGCGAGGCGATCGACCTTCGAAAGGAAGGGCGAAGACCGCCTTTCTTCCCGTCTCGCTCCGACGGAAAGATCCGAGGTGATCAGGAGAAAGACGGCGGCCCCGATGTCGGCCTTTCCGAACAGAGGCGGCGGCGGCGGCGGCGTCGCCGTTCCGACGCGACGCGCCGCAGCGTTTGACGGCCACTTCCCGCAACCGGAAGCGTCTCAACCGCAGGCGGCAGTTCCGCTCGGGGGATCGGCGGTCGTCCGATTCGGCTTTGTCTCTGGTGCGAAGACCGACGGCCGTCTGGGCGAGGAACCCACGGCCGTCCGGTCTCCGAAGAGCGGGCCGACGTTCGGGGGGGAGACCGGAAAGTGTCGGAGGAGACCCGACACTTTCCGGTCGACCCGAACGGACGCGCGCGGACGCCCCCCGTCCGTTCGGGTCGTCGTTCCTTTCCGGAAACGAAACGCTGGGTTAATCTACGAGAAATAGGCTTAGCCGTCCGATCGACCAATCGGGAAGGGACCGGAAGCCAAAGACGAGAGACGGAGGGCGAAGGTGCCAGGAACGTCGACTTCCGACCATCCTGAGTGCGTCCGATCGGAGTAATATGTCAAAACTATAATCGGGAAACGAAGAAAACTTACCGGATGGAGCGGAGGACTTTACGCTGTTCCGACGGAAATCCCCCTGGCGGACGTCCTCTTCCACACGAAAATTTACCTCTATTTCTTCCGTAGTCCGTTCGCAAATACGATTCGTTATTCTTCCAATTGATTTCTACTTTAAAGAAAGACCAAAGGGCCCGAAGTGCTAAATTTGTCCAAGATCTGCCGTCGGTATCGAACGAAGCCTCAGTCGCATTTGGGACCGACGATTCGCTCGTAATTTAAATTCTTCGATTAAGTTAATCCGCTTTATATTTTAAAAACTGGCGTCGATTATGCATCGATATTTTTAAAATACAACGTGGATTAATTTAAATTTAAATCGTTTCAAAATAGCAAAAGAATCGCTTCTCGACGAATGACGTTTGTTCGCCGCGGGCCAACGTTGCAAAATGCAAAACTTGTTTTCGTGTTTAATGAAACTACATTTTACGGCGTTTTTATTTTATACTATTTTTACTCAATTAAAAACAAATTAATGAGTACTTGAATGAAAGAAACAACAACAACAAAAAAACAATCTATGTTCCTAGATATTATTTCTAGAGGGCACGCAATGGTCAGCGACTCAGTGGAGAAAGGCTTTAAATTAATCGATGTGAAAAATTATAATAAAAAAGAGCGGACGAAATAAGTTCTTTAAAAGATCGTGGTTTTGTAGAAAAAGATTTTCACGAAAAAAACTTACATTTTTAGTAGAAAGCTTCGAAAACTGGCGACGAGACTGCCATATTCGGAAATTTTCCCATCTTGTTCCTTATATCCGTTACTTGCGCCGAAGGATCGATGCTTCCATTTTCTATTTATTCGAGATTGTTTTTTTATTTATTTTCTCAAAAGACACTGTGGCCAGGTTGGACTTTTACAAGCATCTTAACAGTAAATCAACAAAAAAAAACACGCAAACAAACAAACAAAAACAGGACGCGAGCTGAGAAAGAAAATTAATTAACAAATAATATCGTTGCGTCTTAAGTTTTTTTTTTCGTTTTTTTACATTGAACTTCTAAAACCGACCGTGCAACGAGTATGATGCTATGACCGATCTAATGACGGACGATGGTAATCGGAATACGAAATTCAACGACGAAAACCTAGGAAATACGCTAGAAAGTTTTGGTTTACGAATGCGGAGTGCAGTTGATTTCATAAGTTACAATGCGGGATTAAGAGGAACGTGACCCAATTTGACAAATATTCTTATCTGGATTTGAACTTGAACTAATAAAAAAGTTTCGCGGGTTTTAAGAATGATCAATTTAGTTTAGAGTATTTTAAACTTACCAAGATTTTTTTTTAATTTATATTTTTATTAGAGTTGGTAAATATTTGTTTTATTAGAAACAAACAGATATGTCTGGCATCACCCCTCCTAACAGGAAAATGGCTAATTATTTTAGCTTACAATTATGTTTATGGCGAAGTGTCCAGGAGATCAAATCGGGATGGTGTGTCCTGATTTTATGAAAGTCTATATTTTCTCCAGAATCCCAGAGATTAAGCATGAAAAATTAGATGCAGATCGAATCGGTTTAGGAGTTAATGAGGGAGGATGAAATCAGGGGAGGGGTAAGGTGTCTATGTTTCGTGATAGTCTATTTCCTCAGATTTCGAATTAAACAAGAATAATTTGAAGCAGATCGACCAAAAATCAGAATAGTGAAACAAACATTTTATATCCTATATAAAACCAATGAGAGACCGTCCAGCTTAACGGTTCCGATGGAACAGTTTCGCACTCGGATCAGTTCCAGTTCCAGCAGCGGAACTGGCTCTCTCACCTCTAATCAAAAGACAAAAAAAACTAAACTAGTAAAACGCACATCAGGCCAAAGTGCTTGGTCTTCTATTATTGGTCTTGTATAGATGCTTTTTTTTCTTTTTAACTCTTTCCGCTCTGTGGTCACTAAGAGGGCCTCATATAGCAAGTCCATTATGGGTTCGGCTAGACCTTTAATGAGACAGTCAGGTGGTGAGGAACAGGGTCCGACATATCCAGAAAGACCACCCCCGAAAAATTCCTGGGGATTTAATGAGCCGTCCGGATTTGAACCCGGGTCCCCCAGAAAGGCAGGCTGCCACCTTGACCGAAGGGCCATCCGATCGTCAAATTGTATAGGTGCTATCCGGAGACATCTGTAATTTTGTTTCCTCGAAAATCGGCGAGTTTTGCTATTGCTACATTTACAGAATTCCGTTAATTTTATACAAGAACCTTACTTTTTATCTGATTTCGTCGTCGGGCCTCGATTGTTCGAAAACGTTTCCCAATTCCCTGTGAAGACCAAATTCATCGGCATCCAAACTTCGAAACTCTCGAATAGAAATCTTGAAATTTAAGTGGAAATTATCGCAGTTGGACTATGGCCCAATCGGGACAAATTTCAAAAAACGTCGAAACGTGGGAAGATATCCGCGAATTGCTGAGGAAAGAGGAAAGAAAATTTTGAAAATTTTCTATTTGCTGCCATAGAAAACGGGTTACACCAACTGCAATTTCTGTTCTCGTGCGAATTCTTTATTTAAATAATCATACAAAATGCAAAGCAATCATTACGTACTTATAACAAAAAGACTGCCGAGTATATAAAAAGTCATTTTTAATAAGGCTTGATAAACCAGCCAATGACGTCCCTATTTCGTTTGAAATGAGCCATCTCATTGGCTCGCGTTTTCATATATACTGTATTAACGTACTCCAGCAACAAGCAACTAAATTCTGCTCCTCAATAAAAACGCCGATTGGCTGTTTTGAATTCCGACGTCATCTATCCGAATTTCAACTAGTAATTGAATATTTACACTAATTTTGTACGAAATGTAGCAACACGATTGGCTAAGTACTGAATATATGTTTTCTTTAACATTAATATATTGTATATAAAAACTTGTATAGTTTTATGTTGTGTAAATTCTGCCAACGAGCCTGAGTCCATTTTTACCGGATGTATAACATCCAACGAGTTAGAATTATTCCATCTCGTAGACACCAAAAATGTATAATAAATAAAAGTAAGAAATTGAGATATAAATTATTGCAATTATTATATTTTAAATATCAGAGAAGAAATAAGAATATAAGATTTTATTTATAACATAAAGTAAAAAAGGGACACTTTTTATATTATAAAATTTTTCTTAATTTGTGAACCCGCCTCCGCTAGGGGACGAGCCATCGGTTTTGCTAAAGCCATGTGGAAAGTTGGTCGTAAAATTTTATCTACCGAAAGTGAGTTTTCTTTGTTTTTAAAATAGTTTTCCGCTTTTTATTCGATCGAAAGGAATGTCCACTTGCCGGGTATCGTCGCGACGATGGATAACACGATCGAAAGAAATTAGATTGATGTTAATGTATCCATGCCGATTAGTTCGCGGACCTACCGATAGAGTGAGCCGTTCGTAAATCTCGTTTATTTATTCGCGATCGAAAGACTGTTTCGATATTTTCGTAACCGTTATTAAAGGAATTTCGTTTTAGTTTAAAAATATATCCAATGTGGTTATTAGTAAAAGACCATCGATTTTAGTTTGCGAAGTTGGAGTCAGTAGAAATAGTCTCGTTTCCCGTTCACAAACACGAACGCTTTGGGTGTGAGAGTATCGAAAGTGTCACGGTGAAAACAGCTGTTTTAGGTTTGTAAACACGTTGCGGAGGGCAAAATGAATTCTTTAACAGATGGTCGATTAATTTTTCAAATGCCGAAGTTATTGATTACATCCAAACGATGTTACTCTCGTAGGTATTCACAAAAGCAAAAAAATAAAATAAAAATAAAAAAGTTGAAAAGGTTGAAGTCGAAGCGGGGATGAAGAAGACTATGGGTTTATTTTGCATCTGTAACTATAACAGGAACGAAGTAAGTACAACCGACTTATTTAAATAAATTCACTTATTTTATGGTAGACGAACCGTATCAGTTACAATCCAACTAGGGACACGTTTCAGAATCAGTGGGAATAGGATCTAAGACTGATTGAACTTGGGTTATTTTCTAACATTTATTTAGTTATCGATCTACAAATGGGAGATCTTATATTATATATCATCTATCTTATATATCAGTCACCCATGTCAATAGGTTCTGGGAGGATATTTATATTTGAATTATTAACCTTTACCATTTTGGGGCAACTTATTGTGTGTACAGTTTTCGAGCTAATGTTGACCTGAATACTATGATGTACTTTTGGCAGTTTTCCTTTAATTACATGGACCCTGCAGACATTGAATAAATGTCAAAAAGTACAGTGGAATCCCAGTTAATGAACTTAATCTGTTCCCTGACTCTGTTTGTTAACCAAAGCAATTTTTCCCATAGAAATTAATGCAAATGCATTCTAGCCTTCGAAATTTTTGTGATTTTTATTTGAAATATACAGTAGATTTTCTTTGATGAAAATGTAAGAAAATGTAGTATCTATCATTACAGCAACAAACATGTAAACTTTATTTAATAAAATAGCACTGTACATATCTTTGTTTGTTTTAGTTGGTGGCAGAGAAGTGGAGATATACAAACCATAATGCTTAGAAGGGGAATCCCCTCCAAAAAAATAATGGGTATCACTTCATCGGGAGATTCTTTGAGTCAAAGTCTCTTTTGGTAAGGAACAAGAAACTGATCTAAAGTTGATTGTCTTACTCTTTTAATTAAAATTTTTCTCAAATGCAATAGTGCATTGTTGTTTTTTATTGCCACTATCACTTTTCTCTTTCTTGGATGCTATATTGATTAAATATATAAATCACAAAACTGAAAAAGAAGTTTAGCACAAACACTAGGAAAAGCAACGCTTAACTCATGCATGCCTAACAGCAACTAAAATTTGACATAAAAAACCGTTACGTTCGTTATCTGAATTTCGTCCGTTATCTGAGACATAATTTTTGCAAAATAAAAGTTTGTTAACCAGGGCATTTATTAACCGGGGTTCCACTGTATAGCAAATATTTTTGATAGTTTATTCGTGTGACAAGTAAGTAGGTATATAAGAACAAATTCTTATGCCACCGATACCACTAAAGAAATCTGCGTAAACAATATATTTCTACTCTCTTTCTCCCAGTCATATACGGTACTATTTGCCACCCCATCTTAAACCATATGCATATTAATGGACGGCCTCCTGAAGTTAATCCATACCATTTAAAATATATATTAAAATGTTAATCTGGAGTGGCATAGTATTTTGTTAGGGTGAAGACTTCCACTTTATTTTAAATTGAAATCTATATTACTAAGTTTAATGCTATGGCAATATTTAACTAGAATCATAAAGGCACTCGAATTATTAGTCATTTAAACGTTTTTGCTAAAGAGAATTTATTCCAAACATTTTATTTATTCATTCAGTTTTAATTAATACTTATTGTTGCATCCTTTACATTGCAACATATGCAATGTAAAGAAATACAGTATATACACTCTAATTATTTGATATAGGATATATTGTGAATCAAAATATTTATAAGAAAATATATAAATGGGTTTTTTTAAGTTCAATCTATAACTTAAAATTAATAAAATTTATTTCTAAATTTTAACTTCATATGAAATCATTTTTGTAATTATTAATTAATATATTACAGATTTTCTTGGTGGTGTATAATTATTTGAGTGGAGTATGGCCTCTAAGACACAGACATGTTTGCAGTGCAGCATTTATTGGAGGATTGCAACCAGCAGAAAGTGACATGAACTCTGAACTTGCAAAAATTACAGTGGTGCCATTAGCAGAGATCAAAGTTTCATCACAAAAGTAATAAAGTGATGTATTTGGCAGGAAAAGAAAGCAGATGTGTTTGCAAGATCTATGGTAAATATGTTTATTTGACTGAGGAATGTTTGATTTGACAACAGTTTTAATAGTGTATCTGGTTCTTTGACTAATTTAAATTTATCAACAACTTCCTGCATCATCCTTCATTTTATGAAGAGTGTCTCACATTTAAGTCATAATCTGCAAATTGCCAACAGTATAGTAATAATAATTCAAACATGGACATACTAAGATATATTTTATTAACATGTTATATATAATTGAACCAACTGGAAGAAAATGAGTAAGAATTTGAAGACAAATAGGATAAAATCAGTCAGTAAACATCAGTCAAAGAATATTTCATCTGACAGCAATTTTAATAGCGTACCTGGAATGTAATCCCCACCTAGAGGACCTGCCTTAGTCTGCCCTTTCCTCAGAACTGTTCAGTGTGGATATCCCTGTTGGTAGCAAAGCTGCCACTGACATAGCTCACAGGATGTAGGAGGCATGCAAACCTGTGCAGGTGTTTTTGAAACAAGGTGGTAAACAACTGGAATAAGTGAATGAGTTTGTATATTTGATGGAGAAATTACCAGAAGAATGAATGCAGGAGTGCAGATGTGGATGCAACAAGTAAATTTGCAAAGGATAAAAAGGTGTCCAATGAGACACAAATGGCTGTGTATGTGAGTGTTGTGGTGCCTGTGTTCATGTATGTTAGAAGATTCACAGGAGTTGCATTACTGCATGTGAGATGAAGTATTTGAGAGGAGTGTGTGGCATATTGAGGAAAGACTTGACAAATGATCAAATGCTGGAGGAATGTGTGATGAAAAAGAGTATGGTTGAAAAAACAAGTAAATCAGCTCTACAATTGTGTGGCCATGATGAGAGAATGAAAGTAGAACTATTGAAGAGAGTATATATGAGAAGGGTAGCTAAAAAGCATGGTAGGAGAAGGCTGATAAAATATTGAATAAGTGAATGAGAATCTGAAAGTATATAAGGTGCTGAGTCAGAGAAAGAATTAAGAGGAAATGTGCTAGAAGAGGCATGAATGTGTGTGAAGCAAACTCGGACAACAAAGAAACTTTAGGGCTAATTGACTTGGACAGAAAGGCATGAAGAAAGTTGATGAATGGATGATTTGTAAGAATGTTGTCTCCTGTTGTCCTGCTCACCCTTTTTAGACTATGAGCATGTGTGTATGTAGAACAAATATTTTTATATATGCTTCAGATCCATCCATAAAATCACATTTTCTCTTCAAAATATATGCAAATGATCACCTGAAAAATTTTAATTGTTTTTTATTCAGAAGTATGACTGTAAAATAATCTATACCAATTCTTTTGTTTAAAAAATAGAGCATTTTATTGGTTTGTACTGTACATGTTATAAAAAAAAAATAGATCCACCTTAGATATTTTCCATTGTAAAGCATGAAATGGATATGACATCACATACATAAATGAGCTGTAGGTTGTGATATAAGCTGCTGTTTGTGACACAGTAACAAGTTAGGAACAGAAAAAAATTGGTTGCAAAAGCCAGCTTACAGAAAAGGAGAAAGGTTTATAGTTTATAGTTTTAAAAGAATGTGGAAAGTCCAACAAAGCAAAAATTTTGAAACAATCACTTAATGTTGTGGACAATTTATGCAACTAAAGAATACTTACAGTGTTAAAAAAAAATCCCCTGGAAGGTCTGTTAAATTGACTACTCATCAAAAAAAAAAGCTGATTATTAAGAAGGTTAAATCTGGTTTGACTTCTTTAGGTGCTTGATTAATTTTGCTCAAGAAAAAATGGCTTCGAAAGAAATCTTGAAGAAAATAATAGTCAGTGATGAAAATAAATCCAGTTTAGATGGGCCAGCTGTCAACTTACAGAAAAGTGGTAATTTTATTGGCACACATATGCAGAAATAAAAACAATTTTTTTCAAAATAACAAGATAGTAGTGGTTATATGATGATCTGGGCAGACTTTGGGTGTCATGGAAAAACAGATGTGTTTTTAACAAATTACACAAATACAACAGATTATGAATGTGCAACTACTTGCTACCATTTGCAGAAGAAATTAGGGCATACCTTATGTTTCAGCAAGATAATACTCAAATTCACATAGCAAAGTCGACCTTTGATTTCTAGTAAATGATGTTCACATTGTCTTGCTACCCTGCAGTTCTAATTTAAACCCATAGAAAATCTATAAGCCATATATGCACACAGAATATAATATTCGTAATAAAACTCCTCGTGAAGTGAAAGAAATAATTCTGTCATAATGCAAGCCATCAGCACACATTACACAAAGAAATTTATTTGATGCCAAAAAAGAATTTATAAATTGATTTTGAAGAAGGGAGAAAAAACTTTACATTAATTAATTTTTATGACTTTTGTTTGATGGACATATCTTTTTGTAACATCTATTTTTGCTATTTTGAATTTATTCTTCTAGCTACATTCTTATGATATTTTCTCATATATTTTGTTGTTACATGAAAAGAAATTTTGTTATTTTGGAGTATTATGTAAACACAGTATGTGATTATGATATGTGAAAAACAACAAATAAATTATGCACATTTTCAAGACCAGTAAAAAATTCTGCAATGGTCTTGTGTGTGGATACAAAAGAGTCACAAGAAATTTTGTTAAAAAATGAAAGTAAGGTAAAATATTTCAGAAAAGTAAGCATTTCATTCAATCCATTTTATTTATAACTTGTTTTATCACCAGATGATTGTTTTGAACGAAGTTTTTTGCTAGAGATCAAATGCATTCTTAATTCCAAAGGATTTAATTTAAAAAGATCAAATTTTTGTTTAAACAAATCAGATGATGAATGGAAATGAAAACTTAACAAATATTGCTCAAATGTTCCAGGCCAATTGATTTACTTTACAAAGTGTCTAACCATGTTTATTCTGAAATAATTAGCTTTGATAACAAGGAGAACAATGACACTAAAGAAAAATATTTTTATGCTAATCATTTTTTACCATTAGACTAGTTTTGTGTTCACAATTGTTTAGAAAGTTATAGTAAATTTTTTCAGTTTATAGGATATTGACTAATTTAATTTATAACTTACATAAGTTATATATAGACTATATATCCTGTATGGTGTTATATATAATCACCTTATGATGGATGATTTTTTGAAGATTTGTTTACTTCCATTAATAATTGTCCTGATTGAATATTTATACATGGTACACTATTTATATTTGAAGTTGTGAAATATTAAATAAAAACTTTAAATCATCATTAGTCTGTGCAATAAGTTAGTTTTCATTCTATTAAATGTAATTTTTAACTCAAGTATTCGTTTTTATTTACAAAATTTTAATATTTAAAACATTTAAACAACAGTTTTAGATTTCAATGTCTGTTATAATGTTACTAATTTAAATTCAAACTGTATATGTGTAATTACATAATTTTTCTGAAATTAAATTACAGAAGTGTTACATATAATGTACTGTACCGGTACCTTTACTGGTCGCTAACATTGATAAGAGGCCCACCAATGAGTCGGCCACGTGCAGATTTTGGGCATTCACGTTAGTAACACCCAAATAGGGGCCGGTTATACATAGAAAGTCCTCCCTCCGCAGACCGCCCACGTTTAGATTTTCCGTATACAAATAAGCAAATATATTACATATATTGAAGACAAAACTAAATTAAAATCAATTTACAAATATAATTTTAAAGTTTTGCAGGCAAATATCTCGCGATGACGTTTCGGTATTAAATCGTGCCACTTTAAGTACCCACCCTACGTTCTTTTGTGGGTCGGTTCACCGCAATACTTCACTGTCCTGAGGAAAAAACATTTGCTTTATATTACGTTAATTTTTAACGATATTTCCCCACAATTCATTTACTTTGACACTATTTTCAGAGTTCTTCAGACGATTTTCCCGAGGGGGGATCGAAGACGGGAGAGAGAGCGACGTCTACCATCGTCTGGTGAGTAGGATCCGGGCCGGCGGACCCCTGACCCTGGCAGATTACATGAACGAAGTCCTCACCCATCCTGTACAGGTAATCCTAACGCTGTTAACCGAAACCCGCGTGGTCTGTACATCAGTTTGGTTGGATCCAACGGATTTATTTGTTTTATAGGGGTACTACACCACTAAGAATATGATCGGAAAATCCGGCGATTTCGTCACTTCCCCCGAAGTATCGCAGTTATTCGGAGAAGTAAGTACACTTTACAAATGACAAATGCTAATTTTCTGTTTCGTGTTGCCATACACACTATTAATGGTCATACACACTAACATACAAAGGTCTTTAAATATTTTGAAATCCGAAACGGAAACGAATAATTACGATTGCCAAATTTAGTGCCGGTTTTTCGTTTGGACATTGTAAAAGTTAGCCGATTTTCCGTCTTCTAATTAGTAGAAAGAACTCTACGCGAGACGTCGAGAGCGTAATAACGATTCTGTCGACATATTTAACGGGAATTTATTTATTGTGACGAAGTCATAATGCCGGTCTGCGTTTTAATTTTGACGTGACTTCCGTACATACTGGAAGTTCTTGTATAGTGAACCAGACCTCTGGCCCCTAAACTTTACATATCTGGTCTCGATTTTCATCTGTCTAACCCTCTGTTCCGGTGATTAACGAGGGAAAGACGGAAAACAATTGGACTATTGTTTAAGAGCGAATTTTTGACACGTCTCTTTGCTAGATTCTTCCGCCTAACGCTGTTATCTAACAAATAGACTTTTACGGGTAACAAAACTAGGAGATGCCACGTCATAAATTAATTGTTTTTGAGGTGTAGATAGGTTATTTACGTAAATTTCTGTGTTAATTCTCGCTGTTTACTTGTAGTTGATAGCTGTTTGGTTCGTGAACGAGTGGATCAAAGTGGGACGACCCTCTCCGTTGAATCTGGTGGAATTGGGCCCCGGACGCGGAACTCTCTCCGCTGATCTGCTGAGGGTAAGAATCTTCGTTACGGATTAATTTACTCTCCGTATATTTATTTAACCTCGATATATCGCGCTATGTAGACCGAAAGGGAATGCAAATACTACGCGTATAATCGTCGGTCTCGGTCGAGATTTACGTCACTTTCGAATTAAAACGAGAAGGAGATTAGAATTTTATCCATGATTCGAAGAGAACAGTTTGCCTTCATTCGTTTTAGGAAAGAATGGCGACGACATAGCATGCGGCAAGCTTAAGATCGTCGAAGAAGATTTAAATATAACTAATATTTCTACAAATTAAATAGTCTATACTGTCCATAGGAATATAATTGATGAGAGATAAAGCATTATAAATAACAGGCTTGTTAGATCGTTACTTTCGATTGGATAATAGAACGCCACGTGGCCACCGAAACTTAAAAGAAAATTATTGTAGAAGCGACACGATGCGGCTATTTTTTAAATTTAATATACATGACGTCACGTACGTTGGATTGGACAAAAAATAGCAGGTGTTACAGGGAATCGGTGTATCACGCTTCTAAATAAAAAAATAATAATAATAATACAACGTTTTACGGTATGAAGTAGCGCTTTAAATTATAAACAGTGATGCCAACTTAGGGGTTTTCCCCTCAAATTTAGGGAAAAATCAGCAGGATGGGGAAACTTAAGGGAAAGTGCCCATATTGGTAGTTCCTCGACGGGTAGGAGTTTTCAAAAGTCACACGACTCGTGATTGTTCTGGCGCGAGATCCGGAGCGGGTGGCTTCATCACGATGCTTTTGCTCGACTGTGGTACCAACGTCCCGAAGTGAAAATTTGTTTCTGTAAATTCTTGAAAGACGAATATATATATATTTTTTATACGCATTGCACCCGGAGCAAATCTTTTTAGGGGAAACTTGTTTGTTTTAGGGGATTTTCAGGACAGATGGTTGGAAACGTTGAGGCTTGCGTTATTTTCTTTTTAACGGGATAACATATTACATTTTACGCAGTACAGTATGTAAATATACCAATTCCGGTTGGCACCCGTTTGTATAAGAGATCGCGTAACTGGCAGTCGTAAAAAATACGAAAAAATTTAAAATCGATTTGTAATCGTATATTTTATTTCTTACACGTTTCTTTGTAATACAAATAACATTCTCATTTGAAATAGCTTTTTCTCGTGTTATTTTTATCTCTCCTTATAAACTATAAAGATATTTCTGGACAAAAATAGGTAAGTTTGTAATAAATATTTCAGGCGTATTTTTTCCGACATATCTCTACGATACAGTCTACTTACAGTCAAGGACACTTTAGGACACGTGTACTTAATGTATTGGGTTATTTAATGAATAAAATTAAGCGAGAGGTGAACACAAAACTAATTCTACCCGTCGTAATACGTTTCTTTATACGTATTTACTTTTGGGCTACCAAATTTCGGGTGACGTCGTCCGCTCGGTTCTTTCGACTGACGAAGGTCGATATTTTGAATCTTCCGTGGCTTTAGACATTTTATAAAAATAAATTCGCTCGTTCGTCACTTTTATGTAGGTTCTTGCCGACAATAAGCGCCCCTTATTTAAATTATGCGTAATTTAAATTTGCCGGTCATAAGTACCGCGCGACGACTTTTTAATATCGTAACAATCCCGAAAATTACGCACCCGGGCTAAGTGGGTAACCGAAACTAAAGCGCAAAATGGTGGATGCGCGTGAGAAGAGAGAGAAACGTGACGCTTTCCGTTTCTTTATCGTAAAGGTGCGACGGAAACGCGGAAAGACAACGTTTCTACCTCTTCTTTTCCATTTTACCGAATTACTTCCGGGTTATTTCCGTAGATGGAAGCGGAAGTAACCTTCCTTCCGTCTTAGCTTTCCGGGAAAACTCGATCGTTTCCGGTAGAGGACGGGAGTAGACCGACTTTTCGTTTCAGGCGTTGAGCCGTTTCCTGCGGCCGGAGGAGGATGTCCAACTGCGCCTGGTGGAAATCGGGCCTCGTCTGAGCGCCGTCCAGGAGGAGACGCTGTGCTCCAACCGGACGGAAGCGATTCTCGACCGACTCGAATACAAGAGGAACGTCACGCGCGGGGGTGTACCAGTCACCTGGTACCGGAGTCTGTTCGACGTTCCGCAAGCGTTTTCGTTTTACGTGGCCAACGAGTTCTTCGACGCACTTCCGGTCCATCAACTTCGGGTGAGTACGCTCTTTCTTCCATCTCGGTCGGGGGTTCGACCCGTAAACTTCGGAGGAGCTCTTTCAGAAAACCGAGAAGGGATGGAGGGAAGTGTTGGTGGACGAGGATCCGGAGGCCCGGGAATGTCGACTCAGGTACGTCCTGTCCAGAGAAGAGACGCCCGTCTGCAAACTATTCCGGGTAAGAACCTTTCCCATGTCTAGTTCCCGTGTCTAATTGTCGCGCTAAAAGTCACGGAGTTTGGAACCCGTAGCCGGAAGCAGGCGATGAAAGAGAGACGGTGGAGGTGTGTCCTCGGGGTCTGGCCCTGACTGAACTGTTGGCCCGCAGGATAAAGGAGGACGGCGGATTCGCCCTGATAATCGATTACGGACACGACGGAGACGGATCCGACACTTTCAGGGTAAGTCTCTCGGCCCTTGTGGTCCCTCCTCTTCCTCTCACCTCCTTTTTTTCTTCCTCAGGCCTTTCGAAACCACCGACCGCACCACCCCCTGTTGGATCCGGGCACGGCCGACCTCACCGCCGACGTGGACTTTTCTTCTCTGCGACGAGCGGCCGGGGATGCGGGTAAGTCTCTCCTCTCTGCGCTCGAGTTCATCGCCCGCTGTTAATTCCGTCTGTTTGCGTTTCAGTTTGCATTTTCGGACCTGTCACGCAGAGGACCTTTCTCTACCGGATGGGAATACGACTGAGACTGAATGTGAGTATCCTCTTCTTTCGGGACGGGTGGCGGCCTCTAGCGGAAAAAATCCATTCCAGAAACGAACGGTTACAGCGTCGTTAATAAATAAAAGGACTGCGCACGACGGAGTAACGCGCCGCGCGCGTTACTCCTTCGTGCGCAGGCCTTTTATTTATTAACGACGCAGTCCTGGTTATGGGGAGTAACGCGCCGCGCGCGTTACTCCCCCATACCCAGGGACCGTGGGCCGAGGGTCGCGAGGGTGGCGCACGACACCGGTCGCTTCTTGCGGATGAATTAAGAAAATAGTTATATTTCCGTATTATTTAATTACAGAGGCTGCTGGAATCGGCGCCGCCGGATATGCGGGAGGAGCTGAGATCGGGATACGAGACGCTGACCTGCCCGGACCGAATGGGAGAACGCTTCAAGTTCTTGGCTCTCTTCCCCTCGGTGTTGCGCGAGATGCTGCGGAGGAGTCCTCCGGCTGCCTTCTTCCCCTTCTAGACTACTTTCTGCTCTTCCCCGGGCGAAAGAAAAGAGACGGACGACCACAGACGTTTACTTTAATGACGCTAAAATACAGAAGGGTGGACGAGAAACGGAACCGAGGCGGGGGAGGATCGAACGACGCACCGGGCGCTACTCGGAAGTGACGCGGCCCGGATTCTTCTTGGCCACCACCGGAAGTTTCTCTCCTTGCAGATACGGGTTGCCCGACTGTAAAGACCGGAAATGTTACCGGAAGTGAGGGAGAAGGAAAGAGGAGAAGAATTCGTACTCACTATTCTCTTGGCCTTCAGACCGGAAGCCGAAGCCGATCGGCGCATCTCGGTGTAGTAAGTGTCGTGAGACTGGAAGGAAGAAAGATTAAAAGAACAGAAGGCGGAGGTGGAGCGTGGCTCGTCCTCTTCTTACCTTTTTAGTGAAGTACTTTTTGGCCACCAGATTCTTGCGCTGCCCCTCGATCTGCCGGAGAGATAGAGAGATCAGCGGGAGAGCCGGGAGTTGGGGCGGAGGAGGCGCCCTCTGGCCTACCTGCATGTCCTGGACGATGCGTCCGATGGTGGTGTCCATCAGTCCCTCGTTCTGAATGGATCTGGCCAGGGCGTCGATTTCGTTCTCCCGGGTACTGCCGGGACAGTCGAACATGTGTTCGGTGTCGCACATGCACTCCTGCGCCGCCTGGTACTCTCGGCTGAAGACCGCCGTGTTGACGAAGTCCTCCAGGCATCCGTCGCGGGCTAAAAAGGAGGAACCGTGGACAAAACGGCGGAAATGAGAACGCAAACGGCAGAGAAACGGTCTTACCTTCGTATCCGGGAGGACAGGGGTTGGGAGGATTGCAGTAGGCGGGCAACACCGCGTCAGTCTTCACCACCTGCAGATTCTTGACGCTGCCGTCGGGCTTCAGGCGCTGGCTACCTTCTCCGGCTCCTCCTGCGGAAGAGAAGGCTGGTGAGAACGAAGAGAGGAGAGAGAGATAGATGAGGAGGGGGTCTTACCTTGCACATACTGGTGTCCCCAGAGGGAGCTGTGTTCCAGGTACTCGCGGTCTCGGATGGAAGGCTCCCTGCCCAACAGGTCGTCGCGTCGGGTCCCGAATCTCTCGGGATGGACGTCCAAATCCTTGGAGAGGCGATCGCCCCGGGAGGGTCTTCCGGATCCGGCCGGGTCCAGACCGGGGTAATCGTCGTCCGGGTCCCCTCCCATTCGTTCCATCATCTCTCGGAGGAGAGAGTCGGTCAGCATCCCCAATCGGTCGTAGGACTGGCAACGGAGGCCGGGCGGTGAGCAACAGACGGCCACCAGCAGCAAGAAGAACGCACGCATCTCCATCTGAAACGAATGAAACGGTGTTTGGGCTGGCGTTAATGGGCCCGTGCCACTCCGGACCGGAAGTGCCACCGGAGCTTCTCTATTCCCGAAATTCGAATATTCCTTCGGTCCCGATCCGACCGAAATCTTTCTTACCTTTATCCGTAGAGTCGGATGACGTCGAAAGCCGCATCGACGTCATCGCTCATCGATGGGCGCCGCACGGCGGCCGTTTTCGTCCGTCGATCGATAAACGGCCGACCGGACTCTCGATATTGTGCCGTCGCGCTAAACGCGGGAAACCCTTTCGTCGGGCCTGATTTCTTTCCAGGTCGTCGGCGAAAGGAACGTTTTTGCATCGCGGAACCCGGATCGAGGCGCAGGAAGGAATTCGCGCGAGACGAGTCCGGATATTCCGCGCAATGTCCGCATGTGGAAGGTCAAAAAACGATTGTAAAAATAACTTCGAAAAAATAAAGATTCCCGTTTATTTATTCGCAGGATTAAGACAAAATACAGTAGAAAAGTCGGACTAGTAACAAAATTCGGAAGAGGGGAAACGAAAAGCTCGATGGTGGGGAAGGCGTTAAAAACGAGCAAATTCGGAGGTCTTCCGGGGGACGGAATCGGAGGTCTTCGGAAGGCGAGTGGATTCGAATGCTTCCGGGTTCCTACGGGAAGAATCGGAGGCGGAGGTTCTGGGATCGGGGCCGGCGCGAAGGCCACGGTTCTCCCCCTCCGGGAAGAGGACCGGGTGTCGATCGCCCCGCGGCGAACTCTCGGCCACCTCCCCTCCTTCCGAGTAGTGGGAGGGATGGAGGTAATGACCCCCGTAGTGGTTCCCCTCTTCCCCGGCGGCGGGCCGGAAGTAGCCAGCTCCCCGGAAGACGTCGGAGGGATCCACCTGAGCGTACTGCGGAACGGAGTGTTCCGTCGGATATTCGGGCCTATACGACTGGTATCCCGGATATTCCAAATACTCGTCGTATTCCTGGTGGGATCGGCGAACCTGCGGTCGGAAAACCAAGACGGGGCGAAGTCGGTATCCTTTCATTCGGATTCCCACGCGGACTCCGTGGGGCGGAAGAGGAGCGGCGAGAGGAACCACCGTCCACAGCAAGAGAAGCCACGTCCCGGCTGACAGCCGGGATCCTGCGCTGGTCATGACAGTGCCGAGAGGATTTTTGCGCGAGATGAGAGAGTCCCTCTTTATAACGGGCGTTCGTTCCCCTCGACGGCGTCCGTCTCGCTCGGACGAGAACCGCCGTCCCGGAAAGGCGGGTCGAAGACTCGAAGCTCCTGCCGGACGACGAACTCCTCTCGGTCGGAAGAGGAAAAACTCGGACGACGACCACTCCCAATCTCCTCCATCCGGGCGAATTCGAACCCGCGACTCCGGCCGATGAAGTAGATCCGCTTCGTTTCTCGGGCGGGAAATAAAGGCCAGTTAATTGGAAAAGAAAAGACCGTATTTCGTACATTGGAAGGCTGGAGACGGGAATAATCTTACTAAACAACAGGAAAGAAAGGGTTTCGTCCTAATTAATTACGGAGTAGAATGTGTTGTGCTTTTCCCCTTTGCGTGTCGCCGCCAATTTTCCCTAACAATTAGGAAAAAGTTTACCTTCGCTCTTCGGAGCGAAACTTTCCTCCGCACCTATTTGTGGACCGCGGTCTCTGGAAAACCTTCCGTGTTTCTCTATCGGTTTTTCGACTTCCACGTTCCTTAACCGGGAAATTTAATCGATCCCCCTTCGTTTCTTCCTCTTTCGGACCGAAGGCGACGATCGTCGATCGAATACCCAATTCAAAAAATTGAGCTGTGATTAGTTGTATTTTTATTTTATTATTATTTATTTTTTTCTTTTCTCTGTTCATTTTATTGTTTTGTTGATTGTATATTATATATATGTCTGTATCTTTAGTTTTTTTTTGGACCCTTCAAAAAGGCCAATGGTCATAGGGTCGTTTGGTTAAATAAAAATAAAATTCGTTTCCTAACTTTTCTTAAAGGCCCCTCTTGCCCTTTAAGAAAAGAAGTTGGAAAAGTTTTCGCGAAATCGCCACGGAAAGGAATTCCGACTTAACCGGGAATGTCTCGATGAAATTCGAACTCCGTCGTCCGATCGTCGCGAAATTTATTTCGTAAATTTTCCCGGGAAAAAATTCGTAAACGAAAAATATTTTTGGATGGTTTCTATTATTATTCCGATCGGACGACGAGTGCCCGACGCTCGACGAATCGCAGCTGCGTTCTTAACATGTTACGACACGTGTCGTGCGTAGAGTGGCGCTTTTAGGCCTTTCATCCTCCATATTTAGTCCGTCGGTGACCGTTCTACCCGATTCGTACTTAATATTTACATTTAAAATCTTCCATTGTCGTACAAGGGCGGATAAAATACGTAAACGGCATTATAAAGCGGGAATGGTCAATGACGTATAATAATAAAAGGATTAAATATGGCGGCGCCTGGCTGGAATGCGTTATATTCTATATAACAGACCGGTTAAAGCTCGTTCGATGGTCGCATCCTATGTAGTCTGTTTATTCGTAAAAATATGCCGACGTTTCTTAATATTGAGAGTTTATAAAAATCGATCGACTTAATTATTTAAAAACGTATCCTTAATAGCGAGATTACGGCCGAAGTTTTCATCTCTGAAACGTAAACGTCGAGCGCCACTTACAAGATGACTCGACGTTCACGTTTTAGAGATGAAAACTTCGGCCGCAACCTCGCTAATAGCATTCGAGTACGTCGCATTATATTAAATGAATGTTAATACGTCGAGATATCGGATAAATAAGGCTTAACGTTATACATTTGTACATATTAATGCGAAAATTAGAAACGATCCATAGATTACGGGGGTCACCCGTAATTTGCATCGCTTTAATTTTCTAATGCATGCGGTTTTATAAGAGTAACAACATAAAGACGGCAGATGGCGGTAAAGATGACCGTGTCGAAAGCTCGTACGGGCTCAACGTAAAATGCTCCTCTAGCCATATTTTTTTTCAAACGAAATACGTAAAATGTTTCTTTAATAATAAAACGCAGCCTTCGAGATAGAATAGTTCAATCTTATTGCCGAAAAGAGAATAGATATTAAAATTCAACGGCAAAGATTGTTATTACGAAAAGGTAACCGTTAATTTATTATTAGCGTCTGAAAACAATAAATATTTCTGCCGAAATGAAACTTTTCCGTAAACAATAGAGAATAACGCAGTTCTTACGGAAAGAGGAAATTGCAAATTATTCGGTCGACGGAATTTTAGCCAACAGAAAGGTGGCAACACTTAGCGGAAAGTAATATGGAAGTCGATGAGAGTGGAAGGTGCGATTAATCATCGTATTTTTCGATAAAGAAACGAGAATGCTGGGTTTGGGCAGGTTGTTGGATGCCTCTTCCAGAGGTATTTTCCGGAGGAACTTACTTTACCGTTTCGCCACGATTTCTACTGAGGTGGAGGCGGACATTCGGGCCAAGATCGGCGGATCCAAGGTGGTGGTCTTTATGAAGGGATGCCCCGATAAGCCCATGTGCGGATTCAGCAACGCCGTCGTCCAGATTTTAAGGATGCACAACGTGCGGTACGACAGCTACGACGTGCTGCGGGACGAAACTCTCAGGCAAGGTGAGCGCCTTTTCTTTCTCTATCTCCGTTCTACACGCACTGTTTAACACACCTGCCGTAAACCATGGCGCATTACGCCAATGCGCATTTGTTTATTCCAGTGGCTCCCAAATTGGGCGCTACTGCCCTCTGGGGGCGGAGGGGGTCCTGACCGAATGTTGACCATAGGCGAGGGTTCGAATCTGTGGCAACCTTTCCCTTTCTTCCATTAAAACGGGTAAGAAAAAGGCACGATTCAAGCGCCGAATGAGAGTTTTTCTAACCCCAAATTGTAGACCCCTTGTACTAGCATAAAAGTCAAAGGAACCATATCTCACATATGTGACCCTTTGTGAGATATTGTCCTGTAATAAATTGGCTATGTCATTTCCAAAAAAACTTGCGTTTAATGGTTTCCAGATATGAAGAACAATGTATAATGATAGCACAAAGTGTGAGGTTTGTAGAAAAGTTTTTCTAAGAATATTTCAGAGACTTTCTCGCCCAAGGGAGAATGGGTCGGGGTATCGAGCATAAGTTTATTGAACTTTTTTGAAGCACTGTCAACTGACAGTGCTTCAAAAACGTTTGGGAATGGACGGTTAATTTCTTTTGCCACAACATCTGCACCGTCGGTTATTAAAACACTTTGACCAAATCGAATGTTTTGCCATTGGCTTTTTTAGTGAGGTTAAAATGGATCGAGAAACACAATCTGTTTTAACTTGCCAAGGAACTTCTATTCGTCTGTATCCCTCCTGCCCAGTCCGGTTACAATTTCTGGTTCTTAATGAAAATGCTGACCATAGACCGGATTTGGGCGTGGAATGATATTGTAAGAATAGAGGTAGGTGCACACAACAAACAGAAAAAATTTTAACATGAACACTTGAGCAAATTTTACCAAAATAAAAATTTTAGTGAAATAATATAAAATTAAATTTAAAAAATTGTTTAAGGAAAGATTTTTGCTTGATTAGTCAAGCTTCTTTGGACAACAGAACAAGGATTTGAAATGGAACATATTTTTAAATAAGTTATCTAAGGAATGAAACAGATCTTAAATAAGTTTTTACCAGAAATAAATATTTTTTGGTAAAAATTATATAAATAAAAATTAAGAAAATGTTTCAAAATAACTTAGTTTGTTGACATTGATGTTGCAAAGCTGTTGTAGAAGAATTTGATGTTTCTCTTAGTTCTTTTTTGTGATATGAAGCGATAAGGTGGATATTACCAGGTCTGGAGAATAGTTGTCCTTTATTAGCTTTGCTAATTCTTTTGTAATCCTGTTGTTTTGTGTATTGCCCTTATGTTTTATAATACTTTTATGTAATGTGTGAGTTGTAGCACCAATGTAAAATGTGGTGTTTGTATCAGATCTTAAGTTTTTTACATATATATATATATATATATATATATAAGGTTCTTGTAAGGATGTTAGGGGAATCTGCTGTTGCAAGTGAGTGTACTTGATGATGGTAAAGTATTTTTGCAATATTTAATCCAAGCTTTTTTGCATGTCTTGCTATTTTACCTGAACAGTTGCCGAAGAAATGATATTGTTTCATTTCATTGCATTACATTTTTTTCATTTGGTAGTCTTCTTTCCTGTTGCTTAAGTGGAACGAGTTTTGGATGGAATGGATTAAGTTTTAGATGATTTGTATGGTAATAGTCTAGCAAAGAATTGAGTGTTGTAGTCAGATCTTTAACTGAAACATTTAGATATTACATCAAAAGCATTGTATGTTTTACTATATCATAAGTTGGTGTTGGCACACTAATACTAGCAAAGACTAATACAATTGCTAGAGTTTCCTCATGTGCATTTTAAACAAATTGATGTATGTTATAAACAGGGACTCTAACTGAATCAAAACCAGAATGATAACCAGAACAAACCTGCCTCGTTTTCATTGAACTGGAATTGGAACCTACCTGATGGGATAAGAATCTGTTGAAACCAGGAACCAAACTGGTTCTTTTGAACAGGTTGAATTTATACTTGTTATAAGTAAGATTCAATTTACTGAAGTTTTTGAATAATTGTAAAAGAGAGGTTTGATAGTCTTTGTGATTCAATTTTAATGTGAGCTTCACATTGTGAGGTTTATCTTAAGAGTTGTTTTCATTTCTGTGCCTCATTTATGTCATTGTACACATATTTTGACAAGGGAGCTGGGACAAAATACTAAACCTGTAAGTGTGTCACAGACTGATAAAGTTTGGGAATCACTGCTTTAGATATATTAAATTTGTTGAGTTACAATGGTTGCTCTTCCTCATGTATCGCGGACATCTTATTGATGACCTCGCGGACCCTTCCACTCATAAGAATTAGAAAATAAGAAATTTGAAGAATGCGTAGAAGTGTGTAAGATAAGAACGCCATCTGTTGACAAGATGAGTGGATCTCACCGATCTGAAGTCAGAGAAAAGGGTTAAGCTTTGTGTCTCAACCCCCAGCTTCTCACATAAACATACAGTTGTTGAAATTTCATACGACATGTTATGATGGTTTCATTATTTAATTTGTCCCAAATGAAAATTGGCGGTCCAGGAAAGATTGTTGAAATTGATGAGATTCTGGTTAGTAAAAGTTAAAATGAAAAAGAGTGCCTTTTGAAAGGATCCTGGTGGGTTGTGGGTGGAATATGTCACGATGATAATTCATGTTTTGTATGCAAAGTAAATGATAGGTCAGAAGTCAGTCTTAACTGGGTAATTTCTAAATTTGTAAATGCAGGTAGTGTCATGTATACAAATTCCATTGTAGGGGAGACAATCAAATTATTGATTATCTCCCCTAAAAGCCAAGCAACTTGAACATAAAAATTTGATTATTTCGACAATCTGTTCTAAAATATTTTTCCAGTAATTGGTATTTTTTGCCATTGTTATAAATTGAATAATTTTTGAAATATTCACATTTTTCTGTAGATCGATTAACAAGTACTCGAGTGTTTTCTTTATGCAGGGCAGAATTTTTTCACTGTTTCCAATCATTGAGCCCTGTACTAAATGCATTACTCGCACTAGCGAATAGTTTGCATGGGATGCAATAAACTTTTCCCAAAGAATTTGAGTATGAAAGCCAGTTTGTTTTTGTTGTTTTCCCATTAAGTAAATGTCTATAAAATTTTTTTATTGTTTTCATAGTATACCTGCTCTGCAATTTGTAGACCATATTAGATGCAGTGAGGTCCAGTTTTTGAATATCTATATCTGTGTTAGATATGCTCTTGATTATATCTATAATTTTTCTTTGCTTAATTTTCCCCATAATGCAGGATTATCATAATTAACACTCAGCATATTATTAGCTTCATCTTCATCTAAATATTCTCTTTCCTGATGTTCTTCTGGCTGTGGCTGTTGCATGTCTTGTTGCTCCTGCTCCTCCTGGTATTGTGTTTGTGTATCTTTTTTTCTTTCTCATTTGATAGTTAGGCATTATCATCATACTGTTGTTATTTCTTTTCCTTGTTTGTGTTGCTGATGCTGTGTAATTTCCATACAAAGTATTTTATCCTTTTTATGAAAGAAATTTGTTAAAGTAGGTATTTTTCTCAGAAAAGCTTTTTGCCTTGCTTCCTTTTCTTCCTTTAATTTACGATTGGCATAGCCACAACATTTTTCATTTGTATTCCACGGTTAGCCTTACCTCCAAGATATAATAAAAAATATTATTTTTAAAATTAATGCTAGGAAGTAAGAATTAACTTACCAGTTACTGTACTAATTAAAAATATATTATTATATTATTAAAACGTGCGCTCTGGCACCCATGCCTGTCTCCAGCTGTCAAACTGATGTAAGTGCAAGCAAAATTGCCACCCTAAAAGGCCAGTGCCCCAGGGTTATAGCCCATTTAGCCCTGTGATTAGGGTGGCGCTGTTAGTAACTATGATAGTATTGCTATGTATGGCATGTGATGATAGAACACCATAGTACGTACACCTTTGTTTACACATTGTCATTTGCATGAGTCAAAAATCTATTTAGTATATCAGCTGTACCAGCTGTTGAAAACAGCTGATATACTAAAACAGCTCACAGTGCAGCGTTTGTTTATTCCATATTACTTTTAAAATATTAATTTTCTATAGATAAATTAAAATCACAAACATGAGTTTTAGTTGGAAATTTGTGTTGGTCCACCAGAGTTTGGTAAATGATGCATGTAATATTAGTATATATTGCTATTTTTTGCATCAGAATTTCCTCATATAATTACTATCTTTTTTGGAGGATATTGTTTTTTCGTATCATTTCATCACTGACTACAAGAATATGGACATATTTTTGAATAAACAGCATTTGTAGGCATTGCTTTGGTGCAAATGATTACTGGCTGTCATTAATTACATTGTTTTCTTGATTATTATAATGGGCTTTATATTTTGCTGTTGCTTAAGCAGTGTGGTCTTTGAATTTCCAGTGTGTTTGTGGTCCTGGCGATACTGAGAAGCATCGGTTTCATCTTATAACAATACACAATTTTGTTTTGGTAGATCTTGAGTGCCACAAACTGGTTTTGAGAATTTTTTGAAGTTTTGTTCAGATTTGGAAACTGTATTTAGGATATGGTTTGGTTTGCATTGGATTTATTGCTGGTATTTTTTAAAGCATTATTTGGTTTTGTCCAGATTCAAAAAGATTTGAATCCAGATTCAAAAAGATTATTCAAAAAGATTTTAAAATCTTTTTGAATAATTTGGAGCTATATTTGAATTTCATTGGATATCTGAGAATTTAAATTTCCAAATGTATAGAACCCTCCAACATCATTAGCTACATTACAATAATTTGATAGAATTTTAATGAAGTTTAAACTCTTGAATTCTTTTTAAAGCTCATATACCCAAAGATGGCAGAAGAAGAAACCAAAAATTAAAAAAAAAAAAAAATTGCTGGAAGAAACATTGAAGCACTAGGTAAATTATTAACGACTTTCTTGTGTCGTTACTACAATTTTTTACATACTTTATTACAGAAATCAACTAATAACAAAACTACATTCCAACATGCAAATCCTACACAAACAGCAGTTAAATGCAAAAGAAAACTTTACTTAGGACAAACATAACAAACTCAATTCAGAGAAAGTTTGGAATCGTAGAAAGAAAAATGGAATCGCAAACGTAAAATGGTATTTAATCATTTGTAAGGCTCCTTTGACTTTAATTACAGCTGTAATTCTTTTAGGCATTGATTCCACAAGTTTTTTACAGGTTTTAATTAATAATGTCCTTTAGTCCTTCCTTGTTTGACAGATGCTGAGAATCGATAAAATGCTTTGATAAACCACACATTTTTGATTGGATTTAAATCTGGACTGTGCAGCGGCCGGTCCATCTTTTCCAAATTAATCGAGTAAAGAATTCTACAACCAATGTTTGCTCTGTGATAAGGTGCACTGTCATCTTGGAAGATTGTTTTTGTCTCCAAACTGGTCTTCACTTGTTGAGATAGGTAATTGTTCCCATATCTCCACACAATAGCACTGTAAATGCAGGACTTTTCCAAGTCCTTGTACTGAGATATGTGCACCCAATTGTGACAGAAGGAAGAAATTTTACTTTGTATTTCACATACTTATCTTGATACTCCTCACCTTTCCTTTACCACATGAATGAAACTGTCATTGTCACAGATGATGTTGATCATTGAATCTCTGTTGAAGATGACACAACTTCATTTTTCTTCAGTCCAGTTTTTTCATTTGTTGGCCCATAACAGTCATCTGTTGGTGAATTTGGGTTAATCTTGACTTCATCTTAATTTTCCTATAGGAATGGATATGACTTCTTATTTTTCTGTCTAGACTTGTGTTCTGCTAATCTTGGACCAAACATCATTCGGTTTCTTGTTCCAAATTTGTAGCAGTATGCCGCAACACCTAGAGGTTAGCCGTGGCAGTCCATTTCTAGATCAAGTTTTCGTGTTTTGTCTCGTGTTTGTGCCCAGTGATAACTGGGCACTGAAACACGAGAATATCCATTTTTCGGCATTGCAATGATGTTTTACGTTGTCAGACGGTCCAGTTGACGGAACAATTTCAAAATGCCAGTATCAGGAATCAACAATAGAGGTTAAGGCGTACACAGTAGCTTCTGGTATTTAAGTAGTTTTGCATTAGATATGCAATACCTAATTTGCATAATATTTGCTTATTTTAAATGGGTAAGCAGAAGATTCCATACTTCTTTCCACAACTTTGTATGATTGCAAACTTTTTCCAAGATGAGTTTGTGTCCTAAGTTTTGTTTTGCATTTAACTGCTGTTTTGTTTAGGATTTGCATATTTGAACATAGTTTCCTTATCATTGTAATAAAGCATATGTAAAATTGCAGTAATGATGTGAGAATTGTTAATGCCAGAAAACATGAATGGTAGTAATTCCAAACTTTTTTCTGGGGTAGTAGGTTACACTTTTCAAGAAGGAATTCCAAATTTTCCAATGCCATTTCCCATCAAAATTTTACAATTCATCTTCCCCTCTGATCAATGTGACTTTTTCCAGTTGTGCACAATGTACTATGCAATGGCAGGAAGAAAGATGATTCTGTTGTAAATTTATAGCTATTGAACTCTGAACATCTCTAATCTTTCCTCATCTTGTTTTACAATTTTTGCCCATAAACTCTACATGAAGTGATTTTTTTTTTCCTTGGCAGGCATCAAGGATTTCAGCAACTGGCCGACGATACCGCAAGTGTATATCAATGGAGAGTTTGTGGGAGGGTGTGACATTCTTCTGCAGATGCACCAGAATGGAGAACTCATCGATGAGCTTCAGAAGGCAGGAATCACCTCTGCCATTCTATCGCGGGAGGCAGAACAGACGGACGATTCCAATGGAGACAAGGTTAAAAAATAGAAAATTTATTATAAATAGATTATTACGTGTACATAGATTTCGGAGCTTTGTAGTTTCTATTTAAATAAAATCTATCATTTTCAAAAGCTTTAAAAACTGATAAGATTTTTGGTAAAAAGTTTTTTGTTTTTGCATATCCATTGCATACTGACAAAATATCTTGGACATGTTTTGAAATTGGGAACCAATTAAACTAATTTCTAGATATGAGCTTTTGCCACCATTCCAAAGATTGTCATTTATGATCAACCAGATGTTTCTTATAATGTCTGTCATCTTGGTAACAAGGAATCTGACATTGTGAAAACCTGTACAACAAATTCAGAATCCTGGGAACAAAATTTTCCACACAACTTCATTGTTTTGGTGATGATGCGGAGAAGAGAAATCCATCTGGATCATCCAATGCCTGAAATCCAAAAATACATATTAGCTAGTCCTTTAAATATAAAAACTAGACAATTGCTCTTGGACTGGCGCTTACCAGAGAACTGAAGTCGGAAGGAGTTTCACTGCTACTGGTGGATTCTTCCAGTATTCTATGTTTTTGGACCAGTCTTTGGAGTCTACCAGAAACTGTCAATGTCATTTCTGTCCGCGTCCGAGCCTAAATGAAAAAGAGATCAAATGACAATTCCCCAGCCTGACTAGAAGAGAAAAAGGACTTACCTGAAGCAACGAAGAGCATCGCCGGAAGAAAACTGGGTCAGTACTTTCTACCAACACAGCTACCAAGGCAGACGCTGCAGTGCTGATGCATTTGTCTACATCCATATGAAAACTAGCTACCCAGTCAAGTTTGAATATAAATACAGACTATTTATTTATAACTGGGTTTCTGCAAAATCAATGTTCTTCCTCCAATTCTTTTTCTGGAAATTGCTGGACAACACTAAACAGTTCCCATCATAAGCCTAGATATAACAAATAGCAATAATTAACAAAATGCCATTACCTGGTCATTCTCAAATAATGGATGGGCAGTAAAAAAGCATTGCAATGACATTTTGCATGTGATGTATTTCTTGAATAAAGACACTCTGTTTAGTGTTTATTTTTTATTCCTTTTAACAGTTGTGGATTGGCAGATGGCTGAAGCATTGGACTCTGCTCTGGGGACACAAAATTGAATCTGGGCAAAGAACATGGGGAATTTTTTGTAGATGGTCAATCTTGATACTTTGGGCTCTGCCTCCAGTGATGCCAATTCAATACTTTTGGCACTAAATCCGGTGTCTTTGGTCAGTCATTTAGTGTCCATTAGTTAAAATTTAGTCATGTCTGAATTTTGGTGGGGTTTATTTTCTTTTGTTAGCATTTGGTGATTTACGGTGTTTTTGGGAGCACCCCTTGTTACTATATATCAGATTGTAAAGATAAAGAAATTTTGTTAAAAGAAAAAAACTTTTTTGTTAAAACAATGATGTCATCAGAACGAAAACAAATTTTCAAATATCTGATGTTCCAATATTGTCAAACCTGAGGAAGGCCATTAAATATAGCCGAAAATGTTAGTTTGATTAAAGAAATTGCTAGAAAAAGTGTCGAAGGTTTTATATTACTTATCTACAGAAGTTCTAGCTTTCTGTGCATAGAATTGAAAAGATAAAGTTTAAACATTTTGATTTTTTTCTAGAAATGACTAGAAAAAAATGTTCCAGTACATTTGACATGGGATATAAGTAGGGTAACCAAAGGGTGTTTAGTCACATATTTCATAGGAAATTTACATTGGCAACGTTTGGCAGTATGTCTAACTTTCAAAACACATTTGTGCGCCATTGCTCTATTATTTCATAAGTGGTCACAATACAACAAAGGCTCACAATCAATTGTAGGGCAGACCAAATACAATTGGCTTGAGAAATTTGAGGACAGAGTTTTCTGGCTTTGAGATGAACTCCATCCAGATGCTGATTCTGCCATTGATGACAACAATCTCTATAACCAATAGATAATAATCCCGTGGTTGACTACCAGAGAATTAGTGCAACAGTGAATGTTCAATGACAAAGTCCAACAAAGCCACATAAACCAAAGATGACCTTTAGAGAAGCTTGGAAGTTATGCCTGGTCAACCAACTCTGTTTTGAATCCCACACAAACATATTGCCAATAATGCTCGAGACTTTCTTCAAAGAAAAAAACCCCATCATTCTACACTTGCAGGAGTGAAAGTTTTCAGCAAAGGTGGCAGAATGCAATTCATATTAATAGCGATTACCTATAAGTCTAAACTTATAATTGTCAATAGTTTCTTCAAAATGTCTAAATTTCATCCTTACAGTCTGATATACAGTGTCTCTCACTTAGAGTTGAACCTATATAATTGCAAATAACTCTGTAACACGTGCATATAACAACATGAAATAGGGCTCAATGTTCACTATTTCAGCAGAATTGATTGCATGCAATAAAGAGGAGCAAGGATAGGAAATCTTGCATCATCAGTTCAATTTTCTTTAAAGACAGTGTAAATACCTATATTTTCCATATTCATAATTTGTGGACCAACTGAACAATTATGAACTTCAGGAAGGTTATATGCAGCAGGACAGTGCGATGTGCCATACCGCTTGTGCTAGTAAGGAAATGATCCAGTTGTTTTTTGGAGATAAAGTCCCGATTTCTTTCTATGGGAACACTTGAAAGGTAAACAAATCCAGGGCTAACAGACAACCAAAAGAAAACATTCAGCATGAAATTGCTGACATGCTGAAGAGGACATTACAAATACGAGTGTCATGTTGCATTGTGTGGATGTTGGGGAGGACACTTTTGATACCTTTTGTAATATAGATTTGCTCGACATTAAATAAAGGCAAGGCATGTTCAGGTTGTACACCTTATCCGTTCCAGAGTTAACCATGTTTTAGGACCTCTGAGGCTTTGATTAAAGTTCTTTTATGGTAATTTTAGAGGAGTCTGTCAATACAAAATAACAAAATTCCTTGGCGCTGTAATAAGATATTTAAAAAATAAGATTCTCTGGAATTGTAAAATTAGTGGACATGGGTGGGAAAAATTTTAGCACGGTATGTTTTGAATCTCTCGTATCCAGTACTATAATAAATTTAAAAAGTAGTGTAACTTTTCTGGTTGTTATAAGATTTTATTTAAAGAATAACTTTCATAATGAATAAAATTACGTGTGGCGCTGTTTCGGGATTTTGTAATAATAAACAATTAGAATTTGTTGCCGAAATTGCGACCATCGTTACTAGACGGGGTGCTCATTTTGCGTGCGCAGTAGGTTTCTCTTTTAATCGTTGTGCACATGACGTCACCGTAGAGAAACACGTGAGCTTTCAACATACCGTGGTGATCTTTGTTCGTTTACATTTGAAATTAAGTTTTGATTGTTGTTCGGAATACAAGTATAAGGTGAGATTTAATATTTTCAAAGTGTCTGTTAAATAGTAGTGTGTTGACGTGTGAATTTTTTAGTGTTCACTGATCAAGTTGAACAATGCCAAACTGTTGCGTGGCAGTGTGTGAAAATTACTTCCTTTAGTCTTTTGATAGTGATGTAATTTATTTCTATATACCTTGGTTACTAGATAAACTGGTTAAGGAGTTGCTATTGTTCTCACCCTTTGTTTTTGTTCTAGGGACAACTGTTCCCGATAAGGCGGCGTTCCAATCGTCCAGTAAGCAAAATTGGCGAGTCCGTTAGCACGTGTTTGTTTTTAAGTGTTTTTATATCATCTTTAGTTATTTAGGTTTTCTTTTTTTGAGTTTTTTGCAACACGATTGTCGATTCGGCTTCAGATTGTCGGTTTTAGAATTTAGAATTGGATTTCTAGCAAGTGGGATGTGAAAATGTCAGGGCACAAAATTGCTATAACAAGAATTATATATTTTTACATCACTCGCAGACCACTTTTTTGCAAGGTGGATAAACATGATATGTGCTTCAAAACGTAACACTAAAACTAACTTTATAGTATTTTCGTGTTAGAGTACGTCGGACTTAAGTCATATTGAATATTAAAATGTCTAAAATAAACCTGAAATCAAAAAAGACGGAAATTTTTTAAAATACAGTCAAACCTTGGTGTTAATTCGTTCCTAAAAGTTGTTCTCAAACCGAAACAATTTTTCGTAAGAAGCAATATAAAATGGATTGATCCGTTCCCGACCTCCAAAACAAAACTTTTTTTTTCCTTTAGCAGCATCTTATGCATAAAAATGCAATACAACTATATACAGTACTGTACTATGAACCCCGAAGAAAACCGAAAGTCATGTTATTTCAATTCTAAAGTTTCCCTCGAAAGTAGTTAATAGAAGACGGGCACGACTCTGTTGTTAAAGGAAAAGTGTGATGTACGGGGGTAAGACACTACAATCATATTTGAAGGATTTGGAGATTGATATTTCTGTCTAGACGCGACATTTCTGAAAATAGTAGAAACCATTTTGTGTATAGATTAAATATACATTTCGACCTTCGAAACTGGGACACGCATCGCGTTATAACGTAGTTTTTTATACTGTAATTCCTTTAAAACCTCCGAATAATTTTGTGGTTTAGAAAGCTATTTCGTATTATCCGTGTTTTTCCTGCTTTTTGGCACGGATAATCGGGATTTAGGCGTATCTAATTTATGCAAAAGATAATCAAAAACTGGAACGACTTAACGAAATTTAAATTAATCCGGATCCGTCGCTGAATAACTTTTCGGCAGAAACGAGTCTAATCACAATATTCCGAGAGCAATTTTAATTCTAACTCGAAATACGAGAAAAATTCTGTACTGGGTCGCAGTAGTCATTATCTGTTATATGAAAAATTCTTTTAAAAATAAAATGTAATTATTATAAAATGACAAAAACGCTTAGCTAATGTGCCTTATTCCGTACAACTCGACTTCGATTTACGCAGCGACGGCAAAAATGGCGCCGAATATCACGTGACCAGCCGTAGACCCGGCAATATTCCCATCACAGAATAGACCGCTCTCTAACGGGCAAAATCGCGACCGATTCTATCGACGAACAAAAAATTTTAATAATTGCAAAAATTCCGGCCCGGATAAAATACAAATACAATCGATCGAGTACGTTAAAACTCGTGTGGATGCCAACTTAGGGGAAAATTAGCAGGCTGGAGGAAAGTTTAGTGGAAAAATTATATCAAATCTAAGCGAGCCGCGCGATAATCGCGGCAAAGTTTGCGCGGGTCGCTCTGTCACACAATGCTTTTGTTCAACTGTGCCCGAGTCCTAAATTGAAAATTTGTTATTATCTGGATTGTATATATATAAAGAAAACAATTTAACAACTTTCCTATTAGTTTTAGGCGGAATTTCAGGTTTAAGGATTTTCACGACGAGGTTGGCAACACTGATATCTCGGCCAGACGATAAGCTACTTTCGGCTTTAAGATACGTTTAAAAGATTCCTTAATACGTCCACTAAATGCAGTGACAGAAGCCGGTCTATTTAATTTTACAGCCCGACCGTGATTGGCGAAACGAGCCGTAACCGTTTTAATTTCCCGAGGGGGGACAGGCCAGACGAGCGACGAAGACGTGTATACTTAGAGGAAAATCTTACCCGCGACGTCTTTGCACCTGGACGATTCCGGAAACGAAACTGGCTCAAAACAGCGGATGTGTTGCCAGCTTTGGCAAGTAAGATAGTTCCGGCAGTGAAGAGTTAGATTTTAAAAATCGAATCGATATATTTAGGTAAAAAGTGGAGCGGCACTCGCCGATTTATCGCAGTCTTGCCATCGGGATAGTTTCTTGAATGTTTTCTTTTAATTATACTACTGTGATAAAGTTTCGGGAGTAATTCGTTTAAACTGCGCGCATACAAGAGGGCGCAGGTGTCGTTTTTTTGGTCATTCGCTACGACTTTCATGGACATTTAGTAGCAACCCTTACGACATCATCTGTTGTTTTCAAGTAAGCGCTCGTGTTTTGCCTAAAGAATTCTGCGCCGGCGATTATTCAAAACGTCAAATGTAATCGAGTGAAAACGTGCATTAAATTTTGTTTTGGCAACGGAATTGCCACTACAAAAACGTTGCAAAAAGCCTTGGTGACCATAGTCTATCAAAAACGAGTTTTCGAGTGGTGCGATATGCTCAAGGCATCGAAGACGAACCACACTACTTCAACCGATCGAACATCAGATCTCGAGTCGGACTGAGATCTGATACTCATCGTTTAACAATTATTGAACACGTTCCACTATCATTTGGATCTTGTTTAGCAATTTAAAAAAAAAAAATCACTCAGGCTTCTCGAGTCCCCCCGAAAATGGTGAGAGTCCAAAAACGTGTTCGAGTGGCCGAGGAAATGCTTTCTGAAAACAATCATTACGAGTGACGAATATGGATCTACGCTTTTGACACCGAAACGGCTCGACCACCGAGTCACTGGTGCTCGAAAGACCGAAAATACCACGTCAAAACTGAGTTTTCTTCTATTGTTGTGCGTCACGTATTCCTTCCGATTGGTCAAACTGTCGACAAACTATCATTTGAGTGTTTTGTGTCGTTTGCTTGAAGCAATTACAATAGAGCGTCGTTTATCCGAATCAATTGGGGACTGGGGTTGTTCGGATAACCGATTATATACGAAAAAAAACATTAACCTATCCCATGTTGAAATTTTTCTCCGTTGCGTATCGCTTTGCGTTGAATTTTCGTCGATGTTAAGCCTAACGTAAACTTTTTAAAATAATAATCGTGGCTATTGTATCGTTAAAAATTATTTCTTTATTTTTTACAAAAAATAAATTATACTTTAGAGCAGGGGTGTCCAACCTTTTTGTTTCTCTGGGCCGCATTGGAAAAAGTCAAGGAGTTTTGGGCCACAAGTAGGCCTATATATAACCACGGTGGCCAAGCTCCTTAATAGTCCGAGCCATTTTTCAAAATTTGAAATTTTTCGCGAGCCGCAATTAAATACGTATTAAAAAGGTATGCAAAAAATTCCAGATTACAAATTACAGCAGAGCATCGATTATCCGAATAGATTGGGGACGGGTTGTTCGGAAGATCAATGTTTCGGGTAACCGATTATGTACGAAAAAATATATTAATTAACCTCATCTTGAAATTTTTCTCCGTTGCGTGTCGCTTCGCGTTGAATTTCCGTCGATGTTAAGCCTAACGAAAAGTATTGTATCGTTAAAAATTATTTTTTTATTTTGTACGAACAAAATAAATATATTGAAAAATATGAAAACAATAAAAAATTATACTTCAGAAGTTAATTTAGTATCAAAAAAGTAAAATATTCGAGTCGCCCAAGACATAACCAAAGATTGCAGCGCCACAGCACTGGCGAAAATTTAAATTTGCCTACTGGAATTCTTTCGGATAACAGACATTTCGGATAACCGACGCTCTACTGTATATCTGTAGCAAGAGTGATACAAATTGTTTCCTCCATAGCACAATGTCAACTGTCTGTTGCAATGACAGTTTACAAATTCAAAAT